TGCGGCCCTGCGTGCGAAGGTGGAGAACGGGACTGCTCATCCCGCAAGCTCACAGAGCCCTCATAGGCACCGCCGTGTCTCGCCATCGCCGGAGTGCCGTCGCGAACGCCATGGCCAGTGTGGGTCGCCAGCAGCCGTCCAGACCATCATCAAGGACTCCAGCGGGAGCACGCCATGGCCCATGCTCACCAAGACCAACTACAACGAGTGGAGCTTGGTGATGAAGGTGAAGATGTAGGCACGTCAGATGTGGAACGCGGTCCGCTACGGCAATGTCGACTTCCATGATGCTGCGGAGGAATGTGGCCGCAAGCTTCAGGTGCTGCGCATGGACAATGGGGGGAGTTCACGGACGCTGAGGTCGCGTACAGCGCCGACAACGGGATCCAGCGCCACTTCTCCCCGGTACACCCCGTGGCAAAACGGTGTTGTCGAGCGCCGCAATCAAACGGTGGTGGCCACGGCACGTGCCCTCAAAGCAGCGCAGGATGTCTGTGATCTACTGGGGTGAGGCGGTGATGGCCGTCGTTCATCTGCTCAACCGCTCCCCCAACCAAGAGCCTCAACGGCAAGATGCCATATGAGGCCTAGCATAGGCGCAAACCGCGGTTAGCTACCTCTGCGTCTTCGGCTGCCTAGCGTTCGTGATGGAGCTCAACCACGTTGGCAAGCTCAACGACCGGAGCATGCTAGAGGTGTTCATCGGCTATGTCGACGGCATCAAGGCCTACCGTATCCTCGACCCTATGACATAGCGCGCGCGACGTCGTGTTTGACGAAGGACGAGGCTGGGCATGGAGCAAGGCGGCAAGTTGAAGGAGCAGCTCTCCATCACGATCTATACCTACTCTAGCACCCGGTCCAAAACCAATTCCGGCGAGTCCACCACCAACGCCACCGGCCACACCGCGATCATCTGCTCCGTGGCCACGCCTCAGGCATCGGCAACAGTGCATGGTGGCGCATGCCTCGCCACTGGAAGGGGATGAGGATCGTGTCGACGCTGCGTATGACGGCAAGCCCATGCGCTACCGTAACATGGACAACATGCTCGGCGAGCTGCCTGTCCCTGGACTGGTGTAGCACGACGTCGAGACGGAGCTGCACTTGGAGCACGATAGCGAGCCCTGTTCCTTTGCGAAGGGGACACAGCCTGGCGCGCCGTGATGCGGCAGGAAATGGGCACCATCAAGCAAAACCGGACTTGGGAGCTGGTTGATCTCCTTGCCGGCCACCGCGCCATCACCCTCAAGTGGGTCTTCAAGCTCAAGAAGGATAAGGCTGGGGCGGTCGTCAAGCACAAGGCGCGACTGGTGGCACACGGGTTCGTCCACCTGGAAGGAGTCGACTTCGATGACGCGTTCGCGACCGTCGCGCGGATGGAGTCCGTCCACGTCCTCCTCGCGTTGGCGGCTCAGGAAGGATGACACGTCTATCACATGGAAAGTCAAGTCCCCCTTCCTCAACGATGACTTGAAGGAGGAGGTCTACGTCCGCCAACCGCCGAGATTTGTCGTTGTCGGCCAGGAGAACAAGATTCTCCGGCTGCGCAAGGCCCTCTACGCCTGCGCTAGGCATTGCAGGCTTGGAATGCCAAGCTGGATGCCACCCTCAAGGCAATGGGGTTCCAGCAGAGCGCGCACGAAGCTGCTGTCTACCGGCATGGCATGGGAGGCAGTGCTTTGCTCGTCAGCGTCTACATCAACGACTTGGTGATCACCGGTGCCAAGGAAGAAGAGGTGGAGGTGTTCAAGGCGGAGATGAAGTTCTATTGTTCTAGATGAGTTACCTAGGGCTCCACTGCTTCTACTTGGGCATTGAGGTTCACCAGGACCACTCGGGCATCTATCTCTGCCAGACTGCCTACGCCAAGCGCATCATCGAGCTCGGCGGACCGTCGGCAGCTTGCGCTACCTCATCCACACTCGGTTACGTCGGTCGGTTCATGTTGTAGTCGATGGCAGAGCATCTGCAGGCTGTGAAGAGGATCCTATGCTACGTCGCGGGCACCTCTGACTACTGTCTGCACTACCCAAGGTGTCTCGGCACGGCGCACTTCATCGGTTACAGTTACAGCGACCACGCCGGCGACATTGACATGAGCAAGAGCACGAGTGGGATTGTCGTTCCTCAGCAAGTGCTTGATCAGCTGGCAATCGGTCAAGCAGCAGGGGGTGGCACTCTCCAGCCGCAAAGCAGAGTACATCTCCGTCACCTCCACCGCCACTCAAGCTCTCTGGCTGGCTCGACTACTGGGCGATCTGCTAAGCAGAGAAGGTGAAGCAGTTGAGCTCAGGGTGGACAACAAGTCAGCATGCCCTTGGCAAAGAACTCCGTCTTCCATGAGCGCAACAAACACATCAGAGTGATGTACCACTTCATCAGGGGCTGTTTGGATGAGGGGAGCATCAAGGCTGGCTACATCAACACCCAGGATTAGCTCGCAGACTTCCTAACCAAGTCACTTGGGAGGGTCAAGTCCCAGGAGCTTCGCGCTAGAATTTGGATAGTTCAAATCCAACTAAAGGCATCACACAAGGCTTAGGGGGAGAATTTTTTGAAGGCAACTTAGGGGGAGAATTGAAGCAGTAAGCCTTGTGCCTAACATATTTTGGAACAACTCTGGATTAGCAGTAGTAGTAGTTGGTGCCTATGTCAGCACCTTACCTTGCTTTAGCATCTTATCATCTACCTTATCTCCTACTTTAGTTGTTGCAATCCTATCTCTACTTCAGTTGTAAAAGCAGACCACTGCCATGGTTAATGTGGCTAAGTAATATAAAAAAAACTGCCCCAAACTTTGTGTCTTTGCCAACATTGTGAACACACAAGAGATAAATAAATGCTCGATTGCATCTGTGGTTTGATCGAACAAGAGGCAAGCGGCTGGGTGAGGCAGCCCCCTCTTGGCCAGGTACTGCAAACATTGGGCTTTGCACATTTAGTACTTTATAAACAATGGATTTGCAAAATTGATATTTATATCGTTGACACCTTGATTAATACTCTATTTGTTCCTTCTTAATTTCTTTTCTAATCTTTTGGCTGCTGAAAGGACCATGCTGCCTTGCTCTTAATCAGGTATATCATCCTGGTAGAATTGAATCGTGTTCTTGCACAGCCACACACCTTCGGCTTCTCGCCGCCACCCGTCCACTGATTGCTAGCGATGTCACTCAAATTGAGATGTCTGAGAATGAGTACCTCTCCAGCTACCTGATGGAGATGGACTCCTATGGTGCATTACTATTTGCGTCAGATGTATATAAAATGAAGATTTTGCAAATTTTGAGGGAGCAACGTGCCTAGAGAAGTGAAGTGGTGGATGAAATGCTGCTGCCTTTGATGAATTGCACCGCATGCTCATCTTTCTTGCAATAGAAATTCTTCTGCTCAAATTTGTCCTGTGCTTTTTCCCTTGCCTTACTTAGGCCCTGTTTGGATCCATAGGGCTAATAATTAGCTGCTATAATTATCTCCATGGATTCAAACAGGTCTAGCTACTAATTGTTAGCTGAACACCCAACTAACAACTATTGCACTAGTTGGGCAAAACTAGCTAATAGCAGCTAATATTAGTTATGAACTATTAGCTACCTAACTATTAGCAGCTAATAGATCTAAACAGAGCCTTAATGATATTAAGTTGCATGCACCGAACAGTTCAACCCAAAAGCTTAAGGCGGTGGGACCCAAAAGCTTAAGGCGGTGGGACGAGGTGGGCAATTCATTTATACACCAACACTCCCCCTCACATGTGGGGGCTCTCTTAGGCCTCAAACGTAGAATAGGAGCGAGCAACAATTATTTTATTTAATTGTGCTAACCAAGATTCGAACTCGAGACCGTTGCATGCACCGACCAGTTCAACCCAAAAGCTTAAGCTGGTGGGGCAATTCACTTGTACTCCAACAAATGAATCTTCAGAGAATTATGTTCCATAAATTTGTTCAGTACTTACGTAATCCGGTATTCACTATATTTCTAGAATGGCCAGTATAGTAGCACAAGACTAAATTGTGTCCCGTAAATCTCCAGGAAAAGCCAGGAAACAACAATGGCAAAGAAGCACCTGCATGGCACTATCCATTTCGTTGCTGGCTGAAGCCCTTTGCTTTGCAGGTCATCCGTGGATGGGCAGCGGCGGGGTCCGTGGATGGGCGAGAAGTCCCACCGAACAGGTGCGTGGCTGGGCGAGAGAACAATTTGATTCTCCCAGGATGAGATATGTAAGGGCAGGGACATCATGGTATTTTCAGGAGCCAAAAGATTAGAATGAAATTAAGAAATTTAAATAAAGTATTATGGCATACTAATCAATGTCAATGGTATAAATACCAATTTTGTGTAGCCATTAGAGTACTAAAGATGCGAAGCCCAAGTTTGGAGTACCAATAATCCAATGTCTCAGACATGAACATGGCGAAGGCACAAGGGAGGATCCTGCCAACCACACAGAAGCCATGGCCACTGCCGTGCTCCCACCGCCGAGCCACCCAACACCGCCTCGTGCACGCACATCATCGCTGCAGACGAGCCTGAGCAGCCCCCCACCACCCTGGGGGCGCAGCCCTCTGCCGTGCTTGGCGCCTCTTATGCGAACCTGGCTAGATCGAACCGACGAACTACAAATCTAAGCTACAGGGACGCCACGATCCAGCTGCCCCCATCCCGGGAGGCCCCCAGCAGAATATAGTCACTGGGCCAAATGCAAGGAAGCCAAGGGGGTAGGATGGGTGGAACAGTCCATGCGAACGAGCAGTGCCCCACCACCACCTTCATTGCAGCTGCACAGCCTCCGGCAGCAAGGACGAGCAGAGGAGAGGACTGGTGCGGGGATGGCAGTGCTAACTCCGCCCGAGTTGCCTGTGAGGGGCGACACAAAGGGCGGGAGTATTCTATGATATGTTTCTATCCCCATATGCCTACTCAATTGAAATGGAGGGAGCAACTAACTAGTAAACCAAATTGCAGTACAACAAGAAGTTTACATCAATTACCTGTTGATTCAGAGGCAAACTTCTCCAGATCAATAACTATCATGTTGGGCTGCAAAACAATTAATTCTAAAAGTTATTTAGCTATTTTGTATACGATCCTTAAAAAAACACTATCCAACAAAATGCCTCAGTGAATGCCCAAGCCATGTCAAAAAGCACATCCATTGCAGGCGAGCATAATGTTTGAGGCTACAATAGTTGACATATTCAAATACACAGAACGTCTCTTGCCTTTGCTTGTTCAACAATGGACAAACGAATGCAGGTAAAAGTATAAAAAGGGCAGACCCAGTGCCGGAGGCTCCCACATGAGTGGGGTCTGGGGAAGGGAAAAACCGAGGCAAGCCTTCCCCCCGCAAAATCTGCGGCGAGGCTGCTTCGAACCCGTGACCTGGTGACTCAGTGAGACAGCTCTCACCACTGCACCAGGCCTGCCCTTCGAATGCAGGTAAAAGTATGGCCAATTTAAAACTATAGTTTAATGCAGCAACTCAGAACCTTCACAATGAAGGCCAAGCTTTTTTTTTAATTAAGAATTCATGGTGTAGGAAATGTAACCTCCACAAGTGTCTGTCCGAAGGCAACATCCAGCATCCTGTCCTGAAAATTTTGAAAAACAAGGAAACTGAGTACCTAAGAGAAATGTAATGACATTAAAATGTAATTGAAAAATAAAATATTTTTTTGCAAAATGGAAACAATAAACTAAACTAGATAGACTTACAAGCCATCCAGAAATTCCTGGGAGTTCAGTTACATCAAGCCCATGACCAAACAATGGTTTCACTGTCATTTGGAAGTATGGAGGCTCAACAAAGCATACTCTTACACGCCCAATAAATGGCCACTGTCGCAGAAATCTCACCCCTACCAGAACCTGCACAAAAGCCCTAGAGAGGCTTAGTAACACAACAGATATGTTTTGCATGTGATCTTATAAAGATCATCTGGAGAACTAACATGGAAGTCCCCGACAACTGTTTGTAGTTATTGTGGAAGATTTGCCTTCTATTTCTTCATATGGACTCATTTTTCTTGTCTACACATCATTTTCTTTTTGAAAAGCAATCTGCTTCTCTGATCCATGTCAGTGCTCAGTTACAATGCACACTTACTAGTATGTGTAACACTAAGAACTCAGTGATGACTGAAAAGAAAACTAGGCCAACAAACTCGTACTAAGATTAAAGAAATGATGCACACCTTTCCTTCAACATGCATCCCAGTTATATGCATGTTTGTTGTAATGCCAAATCCTAATCTCTTCCTTAGTTGCACAGCCATTCTTGCATCCATATCATCAGCTGAAAGAAAATTCATCCCTATCTCTAGAACCTGGCATGTAAACGTTAGCCGTTTCACGGTCAACAAAACAAATATCTGAGAGACAAAAATATCAGATTCACATTACACACCAAGTGGTCATCATCAGTTGATTGGTTAACAACCCTAATATCTGTAAACATCGGTGGGTTCCTACCCAAGTAAAGGCTTTGGATTACTGCTTTCCTCTGCAAATGAAATGTAAATGGATATTTGATCAGGTATACAAGGGAATATATCATAGCTTCGTAAGCATACAAATTGGCAGCAGATTACATTCCTTTTTTTGCTTCTGAGTTTTACAACTTTCAAGAGAACTAATCAAAATTAACGCATATATATGAATACAGTAAAAGAAATCTTATACGTACTAGCAGCTATTAAGAAACTCCATACTTACTGCTGTCCATGGTTTGAACTTCTCTAGGAACCACGGGAATATGGGCAAAAGGAACTGCTGGGATGCAACCCTCTCCATGCAAACTGGCCAAATCTTTTCCACAGCATAATTAAGCCACCTGACAGTCTCTGCATCAGAGAGAAGCTGGTCCAAAAAGATAATGAAATGTAAGAAGTAAACCAGACTTTTGAATCGGATAAGAAAGCTGAACTATAACACTAAATCAAGAAACTATAGTACCTTTCTCTGATTCGCACATTTCCTTTCCTCATACTGTATCCGCCTCCACAACCTCATTGTGTACCGTTGATTCACCTAAAAATCACATTGTTACTGTGATGAGATAACTGAAAAACTGTATTGACTCGACCTTCGATGCTAAACACTGTTTCTGCATTGTATGATCATGCTCCTTGCCCTTTAAGAGGAATCTTTTTCAATGCAATTTGTGGTCCACGGTACTAAGATGGTCATAGAACTTGTGGTTATTATAATTTCTTTGAAGAGGATATTATTTAATTTATTATATTAACAAGGTCGCATAGATACACAGATGGGTAGCAAGCCAAAACTGAATCTGACATACAGCATGTGAAAAATCGAGCTAGGTTGAGAGGCCTGATAGAGAAAAAAAATCTAACTCGATGTTAGTAGAGAGATTAGTTCAAGTGCCTATTGGTATTTTGGTCAACTTTCCGTAATTTATAGGGCACTGCAATGAACTCTGACACTGGTCACAGTAGAGTATCAGAACATCGAATTTGAATTTCCAAGGGAAGGACCTTCTGCAACTGTAACCACATCACAGGACCAACACAATAAAAAATAGTAATAATATACTAATAATAATTCAAATTTTGGCCAGAGTCGATTCACATGATCAAAACATCGGCCATGATATGCTCCCTAAAAACAAAAAGAAAAAAAGTGAACGATTGACCAGTAATTGACTTTAACTGCTCCATAATTAAACAACTGCTCCACTAGGCTATATCTATAGTTTGCACACAATTTGGTCTAGCACTCCCCCACCAACACACACACACACACACAAAAAAGACAAGTATTTTATCTAGGTGCATAGCCAGTATATAGTATAATAGACTACAAAAGGAAAACTGCCTTCAGAACTAAGTGGTTGTTCTGCAGGAACGTGTTTCCATCAAGAAATATCAGTAGGAACAAACACAGACAAGAAAAGAAAAGACAAAACACCTTGTACTCCTATTTTGTTACTTTTGCTGAGCTAAGCAAAAGTACAGACTCCAATATTGACCGGAAGCCCACCCACTCTCCTTACTTTATATTCCGCTTATTTTGAACATCACTTTTCTTATAATTATATAAGGTAACGAAACTTTGAAAGAGATACTGGTTATACAAAATTTTAATGTTGAAACAGTAGTCCATGTACTGTATAAAATTTAATTGATGGCAGGTCCCCCTCCCTTACAATATTTTGTAAGCCTATTTGCAGCTTATAGGCTACTTATCCCCAAAATAACCTGAAAATAGAAGCAAAACAATATGTTTTTTTTTTTTGCAGATTTTTCTGGGCATGCTTCTCCCAACTCCCAAGAGCCTTAATTTGTACTAAAACTTTGGGAATATTTGGATGGGCTAGGGCTAGTTACCAGTTGGGTTAAAAATTAGCCCAAATTAGCTGGGGTTGGTTAGCTAGTTGGCTAACATTAGTTGAAGTCTTGGCAAAAAGATTAGCCCCACCTATTAACTGTGTATACTTTGTTCTAACTTTCCAAGTTCTTTCTACACGATTGGATGTAAAAGGCAGAGGATCATAGAAAGCGTGTATCATCCTTGAATCGACCAAACTTATGAACATGAATATCTCCAGCATCTTAAGTATGATAACGATTTGCTTTCATCAACGCTATGACAAGGCCCGTTTTGGTCAGACATGACGTTCTCATGCGTTGATGAGTTGATCAGGAACCAAAGACAGCGTGTTCGTGAATTTAACTCCAACCCTATTCATAACAATGCAGCGTGTTCGTGAATTTAACTCTAATCCTACTCATAACAATGCAGCTGAGTTGAAAACAAGGAGGGGAATATATGGAAGCCCACAAAAAAAAATTAAGAGGAGCAATATACAAATCGAACACCCAAATGTAGCAGTAAAGAAACGGGAGCCAGAGTTTGACTAATTCATCGAGTTCTCGGCAAGAAGCAGTCAACAGGGGGCAAAGCAATCGATTCGAGGCAAGAGGGGGAGAGAGACTCGGGCGGGCGGGCGGGTGGATGGAGCATGCGCACTCACCGCAAATATGTAGAGGAGCGCGACGAGGAAGAGCGCTGGGTGCGCCCAGCCGGCAGCCGCGGCGGCCCAGAGCGCCGCCAGCACGAGCGCTGCGTGGTGTACCACGGTCACCTCCGTGATATCCATCGCCGTGAGGGTCTACAGCCGCCGGCAACCTCTTCCGCGCGCCCGTGTCCAGTCCAGGGACCCACTCCGCGCTATCGCTGCTGCTCTCTCTATCTCTCTGTTTAGTTTCTCAACACGGGCCACGGGCGGAACACCGTGCGAACACTACTATGCATGAGCGATCGATGCCCGTGTCTAGGAAGGAGAGCTGAATCGGCGGAACAAGGGAGGCCAGGCCACGGGGGACAAGAAGCGGCGGGCGGTGAGCGAAGGCGAGCCGGATGCAAGCGGGCCGCAGCAAAATAGCCGACGCGGAAGCTGATGTGGGCGTCGGCCAGGGCCGCGGCGGTGTCCTGCCCTGCCCTCTCTCTCACGGTCTCACCGTCTCACGCGCCGACCGCACCCCGAGCAGCTGGTGTGGTCATCATCATCACCACCGCACGCTCCGCTGGTTTCTTCCGTGATGGGCGGCGGTCAGAGGATGGGAAATACTACTCCATATATGTTTCTATATGCAAGCGTTGCTGCGTGGCGCGGCAGGGGGAACGTGGAGGCCGGCGGGCTCGTCACATGGTCAAGGCGCGCGGGCGCGTGGCGCGGGGCGGGGCAACTGGGGGGGCGGGGGCTGGGGTGCTGGCGACGCGGCCACGGCTACCGATGGCTTGTTTGCTATCCTCTCTTTTCCGGGGGATGGATGGGTTCTTCCGTTCTTGCGGTCAGCCGACGCGGGCGGGGGGCGACGTCCGTTTCGCGATGGCTGACGCCAGCGCGGACTGCAGGTGCAGAGAATTTGAACGCCGGTATGGAATTGGAACCGGAACGGACATGACCAAGTAGATGGGGCGACCCCATACTTGACCGAGTGGGTATTGAACTGGATTTGGGTTAGCAATAGCTTGGGGAGCGAGAAGGTAGAACACGGCAAGAGGAATAGATGAGGACAGGATTGTAGATTCAATTGTTTGTTACAACTTTCATGATACTCTCCTCCCCTCTTACTTCTCCTTTAAGTACTCTATCCTATTACAGCCATTCTACGCTAGCAACTAAGGAGTTGGGCTTGCGTTCGCGAACCGGCCTGGGCGCACTGACAGCTTCAGATTCAGAGCTTGGAAGGGTTGTCGGACTGGGAACTGTGTTAACATTCCCTCCCTCTTGGGACCGGCATGTCCCCATACCGGTGTGCACGGGAACTGCTAGTGAAACTGCTCATAGGGCTCCCAGGTGGCGGGCGAGGCCGGCATATACCACTTGATCAAGACCCGCTCCACCGGATGATCAACTGAGGTCCTGCGGCATTGCAGAATTTCTTCAGGGACCTGAAACTCAACGCCAGAGGAGGGTAAGGCTGATGTTACCGGCTCGTTGCCATGAGACTTCTTGAGCTGGGAGACATGGAAGACCGGGTGAACTTGTGAAGTAGCAGGCAACGCCAATTTATATGCTACAGCCCCGACTTGAGCTTCTATCTTTATGGCCCAAAGAATATGAAGGCAAAGTTTCTGACTGGAACGCCGATCAACTAACGCTGAGTCTAAGGTTGTAATTTCAGGAAGACCTAATCTCTAACCTAGAATGTGCATTCAGAACGATTCTTGTCCGATTGCTTTTTCATTCTTGCCTGAGCACGGAGCAGGTGTTGGCGAACAAGATCTTGCATAAGTGATCTTTCTGACAGCCACTCATTAAGATCAAGAACAACAGCACCGACAACATGAGGAGATAATATATCCAAGATGACGAGGATTGTATCCATACAAAACATCTAATGGTGTTCTGCAAAGAGCTGAGTGGAAACTTGAGTTATACCAGAATTCAGCCAGGGAGACCATTGCTTCAATTTTGTTGGGCATGCATGAACAAAGCAACGCAAATACGTCTCAAGACACTGATTCATATGTTTTGTTTGGCCGTCAATCTGCGGATGATAAGCAGTGTTGTAACATAATTCAGTGCCACCTAATTGAAACAGTTGTTTCCATAAAGCACTTGTGAAAATCTTATCTCTCTCAGAGATGATGGCTGATGGGAGACCATGTAAATGGTACACTTGATCCATAAAGAGCCAGGCAGCAGTAAATGGGTGATGCATTGGCAAGAAGTGGCCAAATTTTGTGAATTTATCAATCACAACCAGAATGGTATTAGATGAACTAGATGGAGGTAGAGCCTCAACAAAGTCCATTGAAATAATATCCCAAGCAACTGTAGGAACAGGTAATGGCTGGAGCAAACCTAGGTACTTGCTCCTATCTGGTTTAGCCTGTTGACAAGTGACACAGTGTCACGACCCAAAGTCGTTCCAAATAAAATCCTCTAATAGAAATCCTTTGAAATCATCCAACAAAGGTTCTCAAGCTCTCAATTATAGCTTTATCAATTATAGCTTTCTCTACTAGGACAAGGACTCTAAATTCATCGCTCAATCGTTTTACATCCCTCCAATCAACCGAAGTCAATGCCAGTCAAACTAAGTCAATATTGAGAGAATGTTCTCTGAGGGATGCTAATCATTGTTCCTAATCTCTTCATAAGTGATAGTCTATCTATGGGACATAAAGATTGGCCCCAATGCCAAAATCCCACTCTCCAAATCAATTTCTCAAAATCAGGGAGTCGGCGCAAGGTTCCGCCATATCCAGCGGACTGTCCGTCATTTCATAGAGATAGCAGAATAAGAGTTGAGTGAGTTGTTTTCCACTCACTGGTATGGCCCACATGTCAGCACGTGAATGAGATATTCTTCAGTTGCTGAGCCTTAGCTCCACTCATCCTCTCATTTCATTCACTCCCTCTCTCTCTTTAGAATAAGAACAAGAGCAAGGAAAGGATGAACTAGTGTGAGAAAGTGGAGGAGGAGAAGGGATGAGAAATCAAGGGAGGAAAGGGCAGCAAGATCAGCCCAAGATCAAGACCATGAGCCCCTTCATCTCATGGTTAGCTCAAGAGCTCTCTCTTCTCATTTTCTTGAGCTCAATCCCCAAACCCTAACTCAAGTTTCTCTCCATGCATGATTGGATCATGAGGTTTGGAAGTTGTTCCATCATCCCAAGAGTAAGATCAAGAGTTGCTACAACTCAATCCTCTCACATTTTCTCTAATCTCTCTCTCGTATGGATTTTATGGATTTTTTGCAAGAATCGCCAAATCCATCTCTATGGCTTGGAAGCAAGGTTGTCCAAGGTCTTATCTTCAATCTTGGTGGCAAGTAACCCACCAAGTCTCAGAGCTAAGTTGCCATGCCCAATTTCAAGAATTAATCCTCAAGTTATCATAATTTTAGTTTAAATTCCAAACCACTAGTTGCACTTGATAACCATAGTTCAAAACCTAGCCATAATAAGCCTATCATGTCACCAAAAAGCCATGGAAGTATCTTGCACATGCATAGTGAAAACCCATCCTAAAACTAGAATTTGATCAAGCTCAAAACCAAGAACATAGGTTTTGTTGACCTACCGACGTAGGGTCTATCATTTGTGTCGGAGGGTCCATCAAATCTTGCACTTAGCAAAACTCACGCCCAAAGCACTTACACCCTCTTTGAGTAAAATGGCGGAGTGTGAAAGGTCCTTGTTTGGTTTTGGTAATTGAGCGACAACCTTAGGTGGACTAATATGTGTTTGAGTGAGATACATATGTGATTAGTCCACAAGCACATATGTGTGAGCAATACTTGCCATGGAGGTGAAATGGCTTGGACTTGTTGTAAAGCTTACACATATGGTGATGAAGGAACTCATTACAAATGAGACATGACATGGAGTCATGTGATCAAGATGGAGAAGATCAAGACAAGACTTGGCTCGACGGACCGGTTGCAAGCCTGAAGGGCAAGTTGAGTGATGACTTAGCGCCGATGGACCAAGGCAGCGATGAAGAGCAAGTGAAGTCAAGATCGATGAACCAATAAGGTCACATGATGATATGAAGTAGATCATATCATTTGTTGATCAAGGTTGGTGCATGTGTTGCATCAACATTGGAGGAGATAGAATGGAATGCGCAAGGCAAAGGTATAACCTAGGGCATTTTATTTCACCGGTCATAGGTGAGTAGAAAAGTTTATGACCGGGTTTAGGATAGATGGTTGTACTATTAAGAGGGGCAAACTTGTTTGTATATTGGTCATCTAGTGCCACTTGAGCGATCTAACTTTGCATATGTGTTAGGATCGAGTGGCGTGGTGAAAAGAGTGCTAATCATTTGAAAAAATGTTTGTGAAAAGCTAACACACATTGAAAGCTCTAGTTTGGTTTTGGTGAATTGATGAAACCCTAAGTACTAACCTAGTTTATCAAAGTGATCATGAGATAGGCAGCACATTCCAAGTGGTGAAACAAATGAAGATCATAACATGATGATGGTGATGTCATGGTGATGATCAAGTGCTTGGACTTGAAAAGAAGAAAGAGAAAAAAAACAAAAGGCTCAAGGCAAAGGTATAAGTGGTAGGAGCCATTTTGCTTCGGTGATCAAGATACTTAGTGAGTGTGATCACATTTAGGTTCGATAGCCGTACTATTAAGAGATGTGAAACTCGTATTGAAATGCGGTTATCAAAGTACCACTAGATGCTCTAACTCATTGCATATGCATTTAGGATCTAGTGGAGTGCTAACACCCTTGAAAACATTTATGAAAATATGCTAACACACATGCACAAAGGTGATACATATTGTGTTTAGCACTTGGGAGCAAGGGTTTGAAACTTCACCGGTGGAGTGTCCGCCCGTAGAGTGCGGACAGTCCGACAGTGCCACCGACGCCCTATATAGAAAAGACAGGGTTTTACAGAGTGTATCGGACATGTTCGATGGCTAAACCTAGGAGAAAGGTGGTCACTATGAGTGACCGGATGCTGGCCTCGGTAGGACCGGCGCGTCCGGTCAGTGGAAACAGTGAAGACGCTGGCGACGGTCTTCGACCGGACGCTGGAGGGGTGCGTCCGGTCCCGCTGACATGGCAGCGCACAGAGGAGACGTTGAGTGACCGAACGCTGGGTGAGTCTGGTCAGGCAT